GGGCAGTTGACCATCATTGTCTTGGGGTATGTTTGATGTCGGCTTTTTCGACATATTGCCTCGGGTGTGTATTTGTACTGATACGAAAGAGCTTGACCAGTAGCTCGTAGCTATCAACGCTCTTGTCCACAATTTCCTCTGTGCTAGGAGGGGGTTCTTAAGGATCTCATATCTTATTTGGCGCCAATGCGTCAGCGACTTTACCAGCTTGTTCTGAAGAATCAAACCCTGATCCACTGGCTGTCCGTGAGATCTCTGGAATCACGGCTATTTGAAGTCGTCAGGTCTCTCCTATGAAACGTCACTGAGTCGCAGTCGATGGTATAACGGTAGTTCTCCTGAGTCGTTCCGGTGTGGGATACTATTTAAGTACGGCTGTCCCCAGCAGGCGTGATCTTTTTTGTATAATGTAAGGACACAGGGCACCCAGCTAACAGTAATAGCATATGAGAGTGCAAGTCAGAGGCTAAACGGATGCTATCCTATAACGTAGGTCGTGGCCATACCGGGGCCATGGCCATACTGGGATGGTGGGGTAAGCCACCCCTTCAAAATATGAGCAGCTTCAAAAAAATTGAAAATAGTTCTACCATTACCATGCTAATTCATCTATATCACTGTCAAATAGCTCCTCCTCACCCCCATCATCAATTAGATCAATTATAGATGTTGTAACTTGTGATATTTTCGACTTTTGTAGTTTTCGATTTTTTGCTCTGTTGTGAGGCTCTTGTACGCGTCAAACCACCCCTTCAACACCTGCTTTGTGACCCCATTCATCCTTTGTGCCTCAACCCTTCTTCCTAGCTTAACACGTAAGTTAGGATGCCTCTGAATGAACCGTGGCACCCAATCTTGCCCAAGTGGTAACTTAGGTAGTTGGAGTTGTGGTTGTTGAGTTTGTGTCTGTTGAGTTGGTCGGGTCTGCTGAGTTGGTCGGGACTGCTGAGTCGGTCGGGACTGCTGAGTTGGTCGGGACTGCTGCTGAGCCGGTTGGTTTGATGGGGTCTGCCAAGCCACTAGTTAGATATAGTCGATTTGCCAGTCTATAGCAGGTTTGATGGGCTGATGGTTGATTTGATTGAGTTGGTCAAGTCAGTGGGTCAGCTCACCTGGGTTTGGAAGACCCGACACTTGTTTGACCGGACTTCCTCTGCAACCTCACGTAATATGCGATGGCTAGGAGCGTAACCACTTGCAGTAAGATTTTTGATCCATTTTAAAAGGGTCTTTTCTTGGGTTTGGGAGAGTAATTGATGTTTTAAATGTGCTTCTTTATGTGAGGTATGTCGCCCTTTAATGCGGCTAACAACTGTATCAGGCCTTAGATGTAAGGCCTTTGCAGCAGCATTTGCAGTTTTATATAAACCAGATTTTACTCCAGCTACTGCTTCAAGTATTAGAATATCGCGTTCTTGAGCTTTTAAACTCCGTTTGCGTACCATAATAATGGGGTAATTGATAGGTTTGGTGTGTTGGTTGATGGGTTTGATGGGGTAGTTAAGTGCTCGCTTACCTCACCATCCCGGTATGGCCATGGCCCCGGTATGGCCACGACCTACGTTAGGCCTCTGTGAAGCTGTTGCTGTTGCTGCTTCTGCTTCTGCTACTTGCGACCGGAGTTCTTCTGTAGAGATGTGGAATTGACCCTTCAAAACAGCTCTTTTACCCTTCTTTTGCTCCCTTCTTTTCTGAATTATGTTGCGCAAGTTATCCGTCTCTCTTTGCTGTAGTATGTGGCGTGTGTTAAGCCTCTCTGTCTCATCTGCTAACTTATGAATATATCGCTTTGTAGGAGTGTTGAGAATGCCACGACTTATTGTAGAAGAGAGAACTGTATTTGCTTTGTGAAGTGTCTGAAAATGAGGAGGACTGCTATTCAAAAATACTTTCTCAAAAATATCATGCTCTGTTGGAGTCCTTGGCCGTTCTAAGGGTGCGTCTGTTGTAGGAAGTGTAGCTGCGCGTATGACTGTCTGTGGCTGGAATGGCTGTAACCCACTCCCTCTCCAAGCAGAAGTTATATTTGAATTTGAAAATGCAGCTGCTCTTGCTTGTATGTATGCATCCATCCATTCTGCTTTCTGTATGCATAGGAGCTGCACCTCATTAAGGTGCGAGAGGGCTGTTGTGAGGTGTTTTTTCAAAGGTCCAAAAATTGCAACATCAAGTGGCTGTAACACATGAGAGGTATGTGGAGGTAGTATAAGTAGAGATATGCGATTCTGTATGCAGTGTGATATGAAGCTCCCGCTTATATGGCTGTCATGGCCATCACAAATAAGGAGCCTTTGTTGTAGTTGTCCATTTGGAAGTGTTGCTTTTGCTCTTGTAGAGGGCTCAAAAACGCGTTTTAGCCACTCTAATCCATGAAGATTGCTTGTCCACCCTTTTGTATTTGCAGAGAAGTGCCATTTGCTTATAACGTCCTTTGGAATCCAGCTCTGTAGTACATTCTGTCCCTTGAAGATAATGAGGGGGTCGGTGGTTGTTCCATCCATGCAGATGCACTCAACAGCAGAGACCTCTTCCTCAGACATGTCTATTACAATCTGACAAGTGCACGCATTGTGTCCAGTCTCTCCACACTTCCCACAGCGGCATGCACACATTTCTTCCCTTGGCTTGCGACCACTTCTCGCCCTTATTTCCTGCTCTACTTGCTGCACAACATCCCTCTCATCCTGTAGACCCTGCGCATCCTGTTGAGTAAGTGATCCTCCTTGCTGTAGACGTGATTTTTTAGCCCTCCGGCTCTTGCTTATTACTTCATTTGCCTGTCGGAGGTTCTGGTTCTCTGCCTTTAACAATGCTAATTGATGCATTATTTGCGATGCACCCTTTGTAAACTGGTCAACAGCTGCATAGATTGAGGTTGGAGAGCTATTCTGATGATGCGCAATTCAGTTTTTAATGAAGGTAGACTGTGATGAGGCTTCAATTGGGTTATTTGGTGTTTGGGAAACCCAAGGTTGAGCAGTACCCGGGCGGGAGCTTTGAGGTGTTGGTGTCTTTAACTTAAGATCAAGTGCAGATATCACTCTCTCAGGGTCGAATGGAAGAAGCCCTGCTCCTCGGAACCCACCCTGAATGTTGCTTTCAGTCATTGCAGTGTTAAAGGCAGCGTGGAAGGCAGGAAAGAAGTCATCCTTAGTAATGTAAATAATATGAGCCCGCATCATATCTTCAATTTGCCGACCGTAAGCTCTCTTTAATGGGCCAAAACAGCCAACATCAAGTGGTTGGAGTATATGGGAAGAGTGAGCAGGCATACAAAGCGTAATAATGTTGTGTTCCTTGCAGTATTCCTCAAACTCATCTGAGTGGTGGCTCTCATGACCATCAAGGACTAAGAGGCGATAACCACCAACACTCCGGGTCTTTGTATGCTTCTCAAAATGCTGAATCCAATCCATGCCTCTCTCGTTTGTAGTCCAGCCATTTTCTGTAACAGCAATTACCCAATCGCTTGGAAATCCACTGTTCTCATACCAAGATGCAAGGTGGTTTTTGCCTGCAACAATGACAAATGGCGGCACTGCCCAACCTTGAGAACTAACACCTTGGATTACTGTAACCCATTCCCGATTGCCAGGCTGTACCTTCTTTGCTTTTGTATGCCCGTCTGAGCTTGTCACAACCATAGCAGTTGAGATAACGCCCATCATAAACCCAATCTCATCAAAGTTGTAGGTATCTGCTTCATTGATGCCATATTTTGAAATTGTGTTGGTAGAAGCTCAAACCAACAACGGATGACTTCTGGGTCCTCGCACTTAGCCCTCTGGTAGTCGTATTTGCGCTGGAAGCGTGTCCAGAGCTCTACACGCCGCTTAACAAAGTTTGAAGCCCAACGCGACCCGACGCGTGGCGCGTCACATGTTGCAAGTAGCCGATTTGCCATTCTTCAACAATAGACAACTGAGGAGGAAATCCTTTTGTAGCTAGGTCGAGTATGTATTGAACAAGGACTGATTCCTCTAGATTTGTCAATTTCCGTGAGTTGGCTTGGATATCGCGTTGTGAAGGTATGCCTAGTAATCAACGACCTAGCTTACAGTGGTCCACAGAAAAGTCCTAGCTACAGCTCGAAGGCGTAACTTTGGGTCGCTTTGTAGAGCTTGGATAGCTAGCAGTAATTGCCTTTCATCGTTTTTTGGCAGCATGTTTTGTTGTGGAGGAATTTAACATTTAGTTGGGGGTTATTGTCACCTGGCCGGTTCGCTTGTTTGGCCGGTTCGCTATACATGTACGTTATTCCCCCCTTAATACTAATGTAATGGTGTATTATAAATTAATATAATTGAAGTAATAGCATCATACTACAGTATTAACTATATTAAGGTATATATGATAGGGTAGAACAGTAGTAAATGGTCATGGTGTGGTAGAAATGTAGCGTTGAGAGGCATACTCTGTCATTGTGATTTTGGAAATTTCACTCAGCTTCGCCGCTATTTACCATACAAATACCGGTAGTAGCGAAAGGTGCGGAACTGGCTACAATCACGATGAGAATCGTAATTTTGGACCGTCATTGTAGTAGCCAATAGTGGTGTTAAATTACGTGGTGGCCCCATAACTTTATGGGAGAGTGTTGATGGTACCAAAACTGCAGCGAAGCCTACAGTAATACAGCACCTACAACCAGAACACAGGCTTCTACAGGCTTCTACCGTTCACCCTAGCACTTGTTTTATATCGCTACATAGGTATTGTATGGTAATACAGCATATAAGAGCCCATTTACAGCTTTTTACGAAGGTTGAGCTGTATACGGTCACTGCCACTGAGCAGAGTCGCTGAAGCTACGGTTGAGGTGGCACCGACGTTGCGACTGTGGGGGCTACGGCCCAATTCGGAGGAGTGGGTGCAGGGGTAGTTGCGGCCTGAGGCAGTGCAAAAATCGCTCATCGTGAATCTGGGGTGGTGAAGGTTATATTCTTGGGCAAAAACTCTATATACCCAGTTCCATCCCACGTGACCTGCCCAAGCCCAATCTAGAAACTCCCCCCATTCTCATATGTGCCTGGCATGTCTGAGCCAGCCCCGACGATGAGCAAAGGAAGCTCGTCGTTGGGGCTGGCTCGGACACGCCAGGCACAGCCCTCCTCGGGACAAACGGCGGTTGCCCCATCTTTGTCCCTCCTCTGGAGCCGCCAGGAGAACTTCTCCTTGACAGCCCAGTCATCCAGGGCGTGGGACCAAGCGTCCAAGTCAAGGAACTCGCTACTGTTGACAGGGGCAGCAAGTTCGGCAAGGAGGCAGGGGCAGGGGAGGTGGGGGAGTTTGTGCCTCACGTGAGGGCTTCTGAGGGGGGTTTCGAGGGGGTCGGAGGAGGGAGGGAGCCTGGGAGGTGTCAGCGGGGTTCTGTGGTGGACGGGAGGAGGTTTGAGGGTCTCAATTGACCCCTGACTTACTGTGCAATTGAGCATGTACTCTCAAATGAGAGTACGCCTCTCATTGGCTCGTTAACCTTTCCAAAGGAGGGTTAGCGGCCGACTGGGTAGATGGAGTTTTCTTACCAGTTTACTGGGTATATCGAGTTTTTGCCCTATATTCTTTTGCCCTTAATCCTATCCAATGGGGTCGAAAAATGGGTCGACCCCCCTAAGGTAGGTGCATACGGAGGCGTGTACCAAAAGTCCTTGCCGGGCTATCAGTGCCAAGGAATGTAGCGTTCGGGGCTAAAAATAGGGGTAAAGTCAGTAAATAGGCATCGTCAATTCATATTTTGTAGAGTAGAAGATAATACAGATATTAAATATGCCTTCATACTCTCTTGCAGCGCGAGCTCAAGCTATAGGACTCCGAGCTTATGGAGCTACATATCAGCAAATTAAAGAGAATACAAAAATTTCCGAGCGGCAAGTGCGATATTACATGGCTGAAGCACGCCGCCATGGATATAATCCAGATATCGACAAGCAATTACTCGATAAATATCTTATTGATGCCCCTCGGAACAGGACGCCCTCAGAAACTAAGTGCAAATGACGAAGAGACTCTTATAAAGAGTATAAAAATGGACCGGAACTCTCGAGAGAAGACAGCAGCAACAATTGGTTATGAAAATGGTGTGTCTACAATGACTGCTTTTCAAGTACTACAACGGCATAAACTGATAAAACGAAAGCCAACATGGAAACCAGGATTAACTAAAGCGATGAGAGAAGCACAACTACAATTCGCTCTACGATATGCACATTGGACTCTTACAGATTGGAAAAACGTTATATGGACAGATGAACATCTATTGTCCTTGGCCATCGACGTGGAGGATTTAAAGTATGGAGGACAAAAGATGAGAGATTCGAGCCATCTGTTATTCGCTCTCAATGGCACGGAGCGTCGGAATTCATGTGGTGGAGCTGTTTTACATACGATAAAAAGGGGCCATATCACATTTGGAAAAAGGAGACAGCAAAGGAGAAGAGAGAAGCAGCAATTGAAATTGAAGCATTTAATAATACAATTGAAGCACAATGCAAAGAGGAATGGGAACTTGAAAATGGAATACGTCGCCTTGGATTACGGAACTATAGAGGAAGGAAGCCAGAGTGGAAGTTTACAAAAAAGACAGGAGCAATGACCCGTGAGAAAGGAAAAGGAGGAATTGATGCATGGCGATACCGAAAAGTCATCCTTGAGCCTTTACTTCTACCGTTTGACAAGAGTGTAAGAAGGAAAGGCCAAATACTATTGTACAAGAAGATAAAGCACCATCTCATGCGTCAAAGTGGCAAAAGGCTGTCTTTGATAGGTTTGATATTCAACGGCTACTATGGCCAGGTAATTCGCCTGACCTTAATATGATTGAGCCTTGTTGGCCATTTATGAAGCAGGTTACTACTCGTAAAGGGCCTCCTACAACTCAGAAGACTGCAGAAATTGTGTGGAAAAAGGCATGGGAGGAGCTTGAACAACGGAGAATACAGGCGTGGATTGAGAGGATTCCACGCCATATTCAAGAGGTTATTGAGAATCAATTATAATAGTTAATAGTTCCTACGTGCCTTGCCATGTGTAGATATATCACTAACCCCTTCCTTATATCCATTTCCTCCTTGGAGTCTATTTTATGAAGCTACAGGTGCAAGTATCGTGAGTGCTCATTTTGACAGGGGTAGGCTATACCCCTGCCCGGCAAGGACTTTTGGTACACGCCTCCGTACAACAACATACAATTGCATACCTAAAGTAGTTTAGACCAACTCACGTGGTTGCACTAACTATAGAGAGAAAGGCCAATTTTAGGGTAGCCTGTGTCCGTGGCTTAACCTAAACCTATTCTAATACAGTCAAACCCTTGTTAAGACGATGGCATCCGTAGCAAGCATTTCCATCGTCTTATTGTATATATCGTTATATAGAGTAATATTATGTAAGCCACCTATCTAACGTAACCTGCTGCTGTGACTGTGCTCGAATAGCCTCAATGGCTGTTTGCAGCCGCTCTAGTGCCCGTATATGCCCCGTAGTAAGAGCATCCTGGCCTTCAGAATACTCAATCAGTATCTGGAGGGCATCCTGGGCCTCCTTTGCCATAGGCGCAGGCTGCTCAGGCTGCTCCTCCTTGTAATGGTGGGTGCACCAGATGTGAGAATCTAGCCACCCAAGGAAGGGATGATTTTACTAAGACAACACACTGTCTTAGGAAACAGAGCCAAAGGGTTGTAGCTTAGACTATTCCACAACGCAGCAATCAGGTGTGTGATGTAGTGAAGTGGTTCAGACAAGTTGCAACAAATGTTGAGTCTGGGAACTCAGGGGTAAGTCAGAGGTTAACACCTCACTGACTTTTCAGAAACAAGGAGTAACAAGATGAATGCTTGGAAGCTTGTAAAAGACGTGGAAGTATGTGATAGTCGATTTACTGTATTGCCTGCTTGCCCTTTCTTAAGGAAAGGGCAATCCTATTTATGCCAAAGGAGTGTAGTTCTCTCATTTTCCATGACTTTCCATGACTAACCAGGCTTGGTAAATGTATTAGAAATCAAGTGCGACCCACAACTAGCTTGCTAATCATGTAGTGAACGTAAGAGAATCCCATAGAACCATCTCCTGGGTTCCTAGCCTATAGGAAGTGAAAAGGAGGTCCAAGGTCAGAGTACCTATAGATAAATTATGTCATAACTTAACCAATCTTGTGTGTAACTAAGGAGCGATGACGTGTAATGAATCATAGAGGGTTGTAGAAGCTTCTAGAGCTATCGTTCATGTTCCTAGGCCTCTAGTTGGTAGAGATATGCCATGTGGTAGTATTGGCCCACCCCCTTAAGGAGGAGATTTTCTTAATAACTTGTTCAATGAGTGTCCAAATGATATGCCGTGATGTATGTAGCATAAACAGATGTAGTAGAAGAGTTTGCAGCAATCGTTGAGTAGGATTGCTTCTGTTGTTGGTGTGATAAGCCAAGATATGTATGGTGACTTGTAGGTTTGAGGAGGAGATTTCTAAGTTTGCTCTTGAGTTTGATAGCAAACTAAGTGCAACGAATGTCAGTATGACACTCCTCTTCGTCATCATTTTGAGAGTTCTGATGCCCAAGTTGCCCCTCTATTATCTCCTCAAGTAGTTCTTCATCGGTAGTCTGTCCTTCCACTGCTCTAGCCTCTTCCACAGGGTTTAGAAAGTTCGAAATAGCCATCGAGTCTGTAATTGATGCTGTAATTATCGCTTGGTTGTAGAGTTCTTGTATTCCAGTAGGCATCGTTATTGTTGGAAGGCTAATTTGGATTTGAAACAAGTGTAGATTTCCGGAAGCAGTTGTATATCGTAGTGTTTGAAACTTCTGTATTCCAAGCACGAATAATCCAGCGAAGAGTGAGTCGAAGATTCATAAGTTTCTGTGGATCTTGATTTGAATTGATAGTGTCAATTATAAACCGAAGCCAATGTTGTCGATAATAAGCTTTAACATTTTGAATAATTCCTTGATCAAGAGGCTGGAAACGACTGGTACTGTTAGCTGGAAGCCAACAAATGCGGATATTAGGGGGAGGAGGGTTAAGCTCAGCCCCTGTATAGTGTGCTGAAAAGCCGTCCATTGTTAAGAGTATTTGCCGAGTAGTTCCAATATGCTGATAAAAGGCTTGAAGCCATTCGCTCATAAGTATTCCAGTCATCCAAGCCTTCTTGTTCACTTTCAATTGTGCCCCCATTGTTTGTATATTAATTCATTGTAATGCTCGAGGTGCTTTTGCATGGCCAATTGCCTAAACAGGGAGTCGGTCTGTTTCAGTAGCGTTGACGCAGAAACCCAGGGAGATCCGAGTCTTATTCTTCTTAACACAAGATTGGAGCTGTGATGAGAGGCCACATGATGGCATCATCTTCCAGAAGAGTCCAGTTTCATCCATATTTTATATATCCTCTTCTTGAAACGCCCCTGCTATTGTCCGTAGTGCCCTCATTTCTTACTCAACATTTTCCGGAACTGATGCCGCCTCCCCAAACCGTTGTCATGATTATGATGTCGCTTTTTGAATTTTTTGAGCCAGCCAGTAGAAAACGATGGGCACTCTTGGCCAGTATATTCTGGCAGTCGTTTCCAGATCTGCTGTGCCTTCTGCTGTAGTATATCACCAGTTGTAAACCCTCCCTTTTCTTCAATCCGAATCTGCCACTCCTAAAGGATTTCCTCTAGCTTTGGCCACTGGCCTAGTCGACGGCATTGGATTCTAGTGTCTTGGTTCTTATCAAGGGCCTCAAAGTTGCTGCTTAGTGATTCAGAAATAGTCGACTGGCTTAACTTGTGATGATATTGTCTTTCAAACCATTCGATACACTGCCGCTGAGTTGGCTTTGGAACTTGTTGGTGGGCCCAGTGTCGAAGGGCACGCCGCTGGTCAACTGTAATCGGCCTTTTTCGAGGCATTTTGGGTGTCTAATGGCCACGTTAAGACGATGAACAGGTTGGAAAAGACGATGATCGTTGAATCGTATTTTGTATGGTAAAAGTATCGGTCCGTGGAAAAATATCGCACAAAAGAGGTTATCGGCTAAAAGAGGATCGTCTTGGCGAGGTTTGACTGTATATGCAATCATGTTATGCTATTTGAGCTAAAACCTAATAGGATCACTGTAGTTAAGCACCAGTTAACTAAGTTTACATAGGGAATCGTTGCAAGCAATGGCAGAGACTTTTGTTTTATCAATTGATTGCAGCTAAGCTACTCGTCGCCACGATCACTACAAACTTTAAATCGCCTGCCCCTCGATTTTCAGTATCCCCAGATAAAGGAGACTGTGAAACACAACCTATACACGCACACGCTGCCGGATCGATGGTATCGAGCGATGGAATGGTCATAAACAAAACAGATCTTACTGCATCTTGGCAACGTAAGTAAGTGAAACAAATCAATTGGACCACTCAAACAATGAGTCCTCATGGGGTGAGGTTCCTACACAAAAGAAATTGAAAAGGGACAATGTAGCCGAAGCTTGCTCGCTCTCGATCATCAGACTGCCGTGCCAAATGCGACCGACGCATGGATGCAAAATGACACAAAATAGTTTGGAAACAAAAGGCCTGCCGTTAGACCGAAATAGAAAGTATTTTTTGCGGAAATTTGCAGCATTTCCGACTATCGCCTGGCCGGGCCCTCGCGGTGCTTCAGTCTGCTCGTTCTCCACCCCTCGTACCATAGCTCCCTACTTGCTTCGCGTAGCTCGCCGCGCCACTCGGAGAAGACTGCATCCTTGAGGCGGACAAAGTCACAATGTTCTACATTGTATGGGTCAGCAAAACCCCATGGGAATTTGCGACCAATAACTCCAGGCTCGTAGATATCTGGGCTGATAATTGAGAGTGGTAGATAAGGAATTTCGTCAGTTGCCGTCATATTCTCACTTGACAGCTGACGCTTGTGATGCCTGATTGATCCCGACGATCGGCGGTTTTGAGACTGAGGCGATGAGGAAGGTTCTGGATTTTGATTTGGCAGGTCTGGGCCCGAAGAGTTGTTACCGCTGTGTTCCGAGCCCTCCTCATCCTCATCCTGCTCATCAATGCGGTTCCAGTCTTTGACGGTATCAGAGTCATCATCTAGTCCCAGAGCCTCGAGAGGGTCCAAATTCGCTTTGCGAAGACTGTCCCAGACAGTTTTCTTAAGGTGGGTCATGTGAGCAGTCGTTATAGTGTCGGCCTTCGAGATCACTGGCACAACAGTAGTCTTTCCTTGGAGAGTTCTGAGGACTGAAAGATCAAGGTCTTCGTCCAAGCCGCCAATTAAACGGGGAGTGGGAGCATATTTATCGCCCTGGCTGCCCTGGTCATTCGAGGCTCTTCCTTTCACAGTTGCGATGTTCTTGTCGATACGAGCCGGGTCGATGATGAGGAAGGCGCAGTGAATATGTGTATCCTGAACTCCCGGTGCGCGGACAACCTTCATTTCTTCAGTGAATGTCTCTTCAAACTTGCTTTCGAGGAAGGATGACATCTCGCGAAGTTGGAGGTCCACAACAGTCGTATCCAGGCCCTCCGAGTCCCACAGAGTGAGACCGATCTTCTCTCCGTCGATTTCAGTCTCAATGTAATGAGGGATGAAGTTGCCTGTCTTCGCTGCTTGTGCCCCGAAGACATCCTCGGGCAAGTCGGTTGGGCGAGTGCCTCTCTTCTTTGCTGGGAGTGCAAGAGAGCTCTTAAGGAAATTGAGGAATGAGGTCTTGCCCGAGTCACGGGCTCCGATAATGAGAATGCTGCAATGCGTCAGTTACTATGTCATAAGCCATTGCTACGCGGTATAAACTTACTTGAATGGTGTGGGATCCTTCCTCCTTCTCACACGCCGAGGGCTGTTGATGGTGCTGACGGCACTGCTTGCGTAGCTATACCGACCGCGGTGGGTCATGCTCTCAGTTCGCGCATACGGATCAACCCAGTCGCCTTTTTTAGCCCCATTTGGGGGTATCGGTGGAATTGCAATGTTTCCCAATCTCATGCCAGGCTCCATAGAGGCGCGTCCGTTTTCGTAGTGGCCGGTGCCGTGATCCTCACCACCGAAGGTCTGTAGCTTTGGTGCTGCACCCCCGTTGTATAGGACTGGTAAGCTCGGAGCTGGCTTGTTGGCGGCTTCCCATTGTTGACGTTTCAATTCAAGCTCGCGCGCATGAGCTTGGTGTTTCTTGCTTCCCTTGCTGCCGAAGTCGCCGGACTTGGATCGTCGCAGAAGTAAGCCCAAGCTCGACCTCCTTGGGGCCTCTTGTTGTTGTGTTGACACATTCTTGCTGTCGGGAACCGCTGGTACTTTGTCCTGGGGTGGCGCAACACCTCCGCTCGGAGTTCGTGGTCTGCTGCTGCTCGCCATTTTGATGAATGGGATGTCGTGAGGTTTGGAACGAGACCACCAGCGGTTCGCAAGGGGTGAATGTCGAGAACGGTAAAGACGAACGGAAGATTGTAAAGGATAGCGGGTTGTCAGAAAAGAATTATGATGTTTCCAAGCTTGTTACAGCGTGGGGTGTAGTGGGAAAAGAAATGTTCCCAGCCTGCGAAGGATGAAGAGGAGAGGTAAGAGAGTGGGAGGGGAGGCTGGTGTTGAGAAGAGGGAATTAATCCTTCCTAATTCGACCAGAAGCTACAGGCGCGACAGGACAGGACCACGGAGGGCACTCTAGCGGGCGCTACGGTACAGTTAACGTAAGTCGTGGCGTACTGGCGGTATTAGGAGGTTTTCAGCCGTAATTGCATGGCATGATTGCAAGTAGTAGTTTTAGTACTAGCGTAAAACTAGTGTAGAGTTAGTATGGGGCTAATGCAGGGTTATGGGGGCACGGCCTAATAGAGTAATATCATGCTGATCGTCGAATTCTCAGCTGACCATACGGAGGCGTGTACCAAAAGTCCTTGCCGGGCAGGGGTATAGCCTACTCCTGTCAAAATGAGCACTCACGATACTTGCACCTGTAGCTTCATAAAATAGACTCCAAGGAGGAAATGGATATAAGGAAGGGGTTAGTGATATATCTACACATGGCAAGGCACGTAGGAACTATTAACTATTATAATTGATTCTCAATAACCTCTTGAATATGGCGTGGAATCCTCTCAATCCACGCCTGTATTCTCCGTTGTTCAAGCTCCTCCCATGCCTTTTTCCACACAATTTCTGCAGTCTTCTGAGTTGTAGGAGGCCCTTTACGAGTAGTAACCTGCTTCATAAATGGCCAACAAGGCTCAATCATATTAAGGTCAGGCGAATTACCTGGCCATAGTAGCCGTTGAATATCAAACCTATCAAAGACAGCCTTTTGCCACTTTGACGCATGAGATGGTGCTTTATCTTCTTGTACAATAGTATTTGGCCTTTCCTTCTTACACTCTTGTCAAACGGTAGAAGTAAAGGCTCAAGGATGACTTTTCGGTATCGCCATGCATCAATTCCTCCTTTTCCTTTCTCACGGGTCATTGCTCCTGTCTTTTTTGTAAACTTCCACTCTGGCTTCCTTCCTCTATAGTTCCGTAATCCAAGGCGACGTATTCCATTTTCAAGTTCCCATTCCTCTTTGCATTGTGCTTCAATTGTATTATTAAATGCTTCAATTTCAATTGCTGCTTCTCTCTTCTCCTTTGCTGTCTCCTTTTTCCAAATGTGATATGGCCCCTTTTTATCGTATGTAAAACAGCTCCACCACATGAATTCCGACGCTCCGTGCCATTGAGAGCGAATAACAGATGGCTCGAATCTCTCATCTTTTGTCCTCCATACTTTAAATCCTCCACGTCGATGGCCAAGGACAATAGATGTTCATCTGTCCATATAACGTTTTTCCAATCTGTAAGAGTCCAATGTGCATATCGTAGAGCGAATTGTAGTTGTGCTTCTCTCATCGCTTTAGTTAATCCTGGTTTCCATGTTGGCTTTCGTTTTATCAGTTTATGCCGTTGTAGTACTTGAAAAGCAGTCATTGTAGACACACCATTTTCATAACCAATTGTTGCTGCTGTCTTCTCTCGAGAGTTCCGGTCCATTTTTATACTCTTTATAAGAGTCTCTTCGTCATTTGCACTTAGTTTCTGAGGGCGTCCTGTTCCGAGGGGCATCAATAAGATATTTATCGAGTAATTGCTTGTCGATATCTGGATTATATCCATGGCGGCGTGCTTCAGCCATGTAATATCGCACTTGCCGCTCGGAAATTTTTGTATTCTCTTTAATTTGCTGATATGTAGCTCCATAAGCTCGGAGTCCTATAGCTTGAGCTCGCGCTGCAAGAGAGTATGAAGGCATATTTAATATCTGTATTATCTTCTACTCTACAAAATATGAATTGACGATGCCTATTTACTGACTTTACCCCTATTTTTAGCCCCGAACGCTACATTCCTTGGCACTGATAGCCCGGCAAGGACTTTTGGTACACGCCTCCGTATGCACCTACCTTAGGGGGGTCGACCCATTTTTCGACCCCATTGGATAGGATTAAGGGCAAAAGAATATAGGGCAAAAACTCGATATACCCAGTAAACTGGTAAGAAAACTCCATCTACCCAGTCGGCCGCTAACCCTCCTTTGGAAAGGTTAACGAGCCAATGAGAGGCGTACTCTCATTTGAGAGTACATGCTCAATTGCACAGTAAGTCAGGGGTCAATTGAGACCCTCAAACCTCCTCCCGTCCACCACAGAACCCCGCTGACACCTCCCAGGCTCCCTCCCTCCTCCGACCCCCTCGAAACCCCCCTCAGAAGCCCTCACGTGAGGCACAAACTCCCCCACCTCCCCTGCCCCTGCCTCCTTGCCGAACTTGCTGCCCCTGTCAACAGTAGCGAGTTCCTTGACTTGGACGCTTGGTCCCACGCCCTGGATGACTGGGCTGTCAAGGAGAAGTTCTCCTGGCGGCTCCAGAGGAGGGACAAAGATGGGGCAACCGCCGTTTGTCCCGAGGAGGGCTGTGCCTGGCGTGTCCGAGCCAGCCCCAACGACGAGCTTCCTTTGCTCATCGTCGGGGCTGGCTCAGACATGCCAGGCACATATGAGAATGGGGGGAGTTTCTAGATTGGGCTTGGGCAGGTCACGTGGGATGGAACTGGGTATATAGAGTTTTTGCCCAAGAATATAACCTTCACCACCCCAGATTCACGATGAGCGATTTTTGCACTGCCTCAGGCCGCAACTACCCCTGCACCCACTCCTCCGAATTGGGCCGTAGCCCCCACAGTCGCAACGTCGGTGCCACCTCAACCGTAGCTTCAGCGACTCTGCTCAGTGGCAGTGACCGTATACAGCTCAACCTTCGTAAAAAGCTGTAAATGGGCTCTTATATGCTGTATTACCATACAATACCTATGTAGCGATATAAAACAAGTGCTAGGGTGAACGGTAGAAGCCTGTAGAAGCCTGTGTTCTGGTTGTAGGTGCTGTATTACTGTAGGCTTCGCTGCAGTTTTGGTACCATCAACACTCTCCCATAAAGTTATGGGGCCACCACGTAATTTAACACCACTATTGGCTACTACAATGACGGTCCAAAATTACGATTCTCATCGTGATTGTAGCCAGTTCCGCACCTTTCGCTACTACCGGTATTTGTATGGTAAATAGCGGCGAAGCTGAGTGAAATTTCCAAAATCACAATGACAGAGTATGCCTCTCAACGCTACATTTCTACCACACCATGACCATTTACTACTGTTCTACCCTATCATATATACCTTAATATAGTTAATACTGTAGTATGATGCTATTACTTCAATTATATTAATTTATAATACACCATTACATTAGTATTAAGGGGGGAATAACGTACATGTATAGCGAACCGGCCAAACAAGCGAACCGGCCAGGTGACAATAACCCCCAACTAAATGTTAAATTCCTCCACAACAAAACATGCTGCCAAAAAACGATGAAAGGCAATTACTGCTAGCTATCCAAGCTCTACAAAGCGACCCAAAGTTACGCCTTCGAGCTGTAGCTAGGACTTTTCTGTGGACCACTGTAAGCTAGGTCGTTGATTACTAGGCATACCTTCACAACGCGATATCCAAGCCAACTCACGGAAATTGACAAATCTAGAGGAATCAGTCCTTGTTCAATACATACTCGACCTAGCTACAAAAGGATTTCCTCCTCAGTTGTCTATTGTTGAAGAATGGCAAATCGGCTACTTGCAACATGTGACGCGCCACGCGTCGGGTCGCGTTGGGCTTCAAACTTTGTTAAGCGGCGTGTAGAGCTCTGGACACGCTTCCAGCGCAAATACGACTACCAGAGGGCTAAGTGCGAGGACCCAGAAGTCATCCGTTGTTGGTTTGAGCTTCTACCAACACAATTTCAAAATATGGCATCAATGAAGCAGATACCTACAACTTTGATGAGATTGGGTTTATGATGGGCGTTATCTCAACTGCTATGGTTGTGACAAGCTCAGACGGGCATACAAAAGCAAAGAAGGTACAGCCTGGCAATCGGGAATGGGTTACAGTAATCCAAGGTGTTAGTTCTCAAGGTTGGGCAGTGCCGCCATTTGTCATTGTTGCAGGCAAAAACCACCTTGCATCTTGGTATGAGAACAGTGGATTTCCAAGCGATTGGGTAATTGCTGTTACAGAAAATGGCTGGACTACAAACGAGAGAGGCATGGATTGGATTCAGCATTTTGAGAAGCATACAAAGACCCGGAGTGTTGGTGGTTATCGCCTCTTAGTCCTTGATGGTCATGAGAGCCACCACTCAGATGAGTTTGAGGAATACTGCAAGGAACACAACATTATTACGCTTTGTATGCCTGCTCACTCTTCCCATATACTCCAACCACTTGATGTTGGCTGTTTTGGCCCATTAAAGAGAGCTTACGGTCGGCAAATTGAAGATATGATGCGGGCTCATATTATTTACATTACTAAGGATGACTTCTTTCCTGCCTTCCACGCTGCCTTTAACACTGCAATGACTGAAAGCAACATTCAGGGTGGGTTCCGAGGAGCAGGGCTTCTTCCATTCGACCCTGAGAGAGTGATATCTGCACTTGATCTTAAGTTAAAGACACCAACACCTCAAAGCTCCCGCCCGGGTACTGCTCAACCTTGGGTTTCCCAAACACCAAATAACCCAATTGAAGCCTCATCACAGTCTACCTTCATTAAAAACTGAATTGCGCATCATCAGAATAGCTCTCCAACCTCAATCTATGCAGCTGTTGACCAGTTTACAAAGGGTGCATCGCAAATAATGCATCAATTAGCATTGTTAAAGGCAGAGAACCAGAACCTCCGACAGGCAAATGAAGTAATAAGCAAGAGCCGGAGGGCTAAAAAATCACGTCTACAGCAAGGAGGATCACTTACTCAACAGGATGCGCAGGGTCTACAGGATGAGAGGGATGTTGTGCAGCAAGTAGAGCAGGAAATAAGGGCGAGAAGTGGTCGCAAGCCAAGGGAAGAAATGTGTGCATGCCGCTGTGGGAAGTGTGGAGAGACTGGACACAATGCGTGCACTTGTCAGATTGTAATAGACATGTCTGAGGAAGAGGTCTCTGCTGTTGAGTGCATCTGCATGGATGGAACAACCACCGACCCCCTCATTATCTTCAAGGGACAGAATGTACTACAGAGCTGGATTCCAAAGGACGTTATAAGCAAATGGCACTTCTCTGCAAATACAAAAGGATGGACAAGCAATCTTCATGGATATGAGTGGCTAAAACGCGTTTTTGAGCCTTCTACAAGAGCAAAAGCAACACTTCCAAATGGACAACTACAACAAAGGCTCCTTATTTGTGATGGCCATGACAGCCATATAAGTGGGAGCTTCATATCACACTGCATACAGAATCGCATATCGCTCCTTATACTACCTCCACATACCTCACATATACTCCAACCACTTGATGTTGCAATTTTTGGACCTTTGAAAAGACACCTCACAACAGCCCTCTCACACCTTAATGAGGTGCAGCTCCTACGCATACAGAAAGCAGAATGGATGGATGCATACATAGTTACAAGCAAGAGCAGCTGCATTTTCAAATTCAAATATAGCTTCTGCTTGGAGAGGGAGTGGGTTACAGCCATTCCAGCCACAGACAGTCATACGCGCAGCTACACTTCCTACAACAGACGCACCCTTAGAACGGCCAAGGACTCCAACAGAGCATGATATTTTTGAGAAAGTATTTTTGAATAGCAGTCCTCCTCATTTTCAGACACTTCACAAAGCAAATACAGTTCTCTCTTCTACAATAAGTCGCTACAAAGCGATATATTCATAAGTTAGCAGATGAGACAGAGAGGCTTAACGCACGCCACATACTACAGCAAAGAGAGATGGATAACTTGCGCTCAATTATTCAGAAGCGCAGAGTACAAAATAAGGGTAAGAGAGTAGTTTTAAAGGGTCAATTCCACATCACAACTGAGGAGTTGCGGTCGCAAGTAGCAGAAGCAGAAGCAGCAACAACAGCTACATCACAAAAGTCGAAAATATCAACAACTCCACAAGTTACAACATCTATAATTGATCTAATTGATGATGGGAGTGAGGAGGAGCTATTTGACAGTGATATAGATGAATTAGCATGGTAATGGTAGAACTATTTTCAATTTTTTTGAAGCTGCTCATATTTTGAAGGGGTGGCTTACCCCACCATCCCAGTAACGTAAGTCGTGGCGTAAGCGGCGATCTGGCGTAAGCGGCGATAAGTACCCTTATATACAACTTTGTATGGAAAGGTACTTCTACATCCAAAACTAAAACCTTAAATAGCTCCATGGATAAAAATCGTTAGGCTTAGCTGTTCAATATTTAGGTTCTATATATAGGCCTTTACCTAATATAAAAACGCTAGTATTGCTAGTGTGATTATTATGCTTCTATTAGTAGGAGAAGATTGCTCATACAAATATTTGTATGAGGAAAACTTAACCCTTAAATTAGCATTGCAAAAAGACACTAGCAATACTAGCGTTTTTATATTAGGTAAAGGCCTATATATAGAACCTAAATATTGAACAGCTAAGCCTAACGATTTTTATCCATGGAGCTATTTAAGGTTTTAGTTTTGGATGTAGAAGTACCTTTCCATACAAAGTTGTATATAAGGGTACTTATCGCTGCTTACGCCAGATCGCCGCTTACGCCACGACTTACGTTATGGCCATGGCCCCGGTATGGCCACGACCTACGTTACGCCACGACTTACGTTATCCCCACGACCTACGTTACACCATGTAGCCGGTTACACCACGACCTACGTAATTATAAAGTTGTTAAGTTATTATCTTGTAAAAATTTTGATTTTAACTGGAAGTTCAGTGATCCATCCTCTCGCTTGTGTGATCCGTCCACTTGTGAAATACTTAACCAAAAAACTATAATTACAGATACCTGCTGCGGAATGCATGACTAAGAGTGCTCATCTTGCTTGCCATGCCACCGTGCTGCATATTACTGAGCAGCGCCTCTTCGAGCGCGGATTGAGTCACGGAGGCATCTATCCAAGAATGTGTCAGTAACGGCCTCTAATAGCGGCATACATTGGACAAACTCACCATCAAGGTCGCTGAAACTACTACCCATACTTGGTGTCCCATCGCTCTCTCTCCCCATCCCCTGTTCCTTGCCTGTACTTACGGGACTCCTCCCTGCTAGTTCCGCGGTTCTGCGACCGGGAATCGGACTTGCGCCAGCCAAGCCCCGGACCTGCTTCGCATCTCTATGGCTGGGCGGATGGTTCTGCGCGGTCGAGCTGGCCGAAGAATCAGATGTATGTGACCGAAGCACGGCATCGGATATTTTCTTGCGATGTGAACCTCCAATCGCGTTTTCTTGCGCAGCGGTTGCGCTTGGGTTATAGGCGGCGGGAGGTTTAGTTGTGGCGGTAAATGGGAGGAATGTAGGCGAATCTTCGTCATCATCGCCATCTTCAGAGTGGTGGAGACGACGGGGTGGACGACGTAGCATTCGACTCTGAACTGGGAGGTCCGAGTCTGAGGAGGAGCCTTCTGAACCTGACTCGAGTACAGACGTTGGTGAAAGTGGGGTAGGGCGTGAAGAAACATGCGGGTGTGCGGTGTTGATTGTATTGGACAGCCTCCGTGCCCTTGACAGAGGTGACATGGACCGGCCATGTAGTTCGGCCTTCGCGGTGTGGGGGCTTGAGGGGATGATAGTGTGTCGACTTTGAATCTGGATTGCCGTGTTTGATGACGATGTGCGGCTTATTTGGGGGGCACCAGCCCGCCCGGTGGGTTGTTGAACGCTGCCGTCTCCATTTGCTGCAGGAGAATCTCTCCGAATCGAGAGAGAGGATGGAGTTTGTTGTTGGCTACCGCCAGATGCCGTTCTTACCATGGTCTCGCCACCAGTGCTTTCTGTACCCAGTATAGGTGATTGAACCATGTTCTTTGATGCGCCAACCTTTCGAAGCTGGGCCCTAACTTGGGAAAATTGACGGTCATAGAGGTATGCTGCTTGCTGGAGTAGGAACGATAAAGACACATCATAACTCTCAGCCAGTGTGTTCCAATTCATCTCGTTGTTCTTGGGTGTCTTGGAGAGGATCTTCCACAGCGACCTATCTTTCGATGCATCCCAGGCAACCTTCACAAAGAGGTCAGACAGATGCCAGGAAGGGAGGACGGGCAACATACCGGTGGAGGATCCACAAAGTTATCTCGGGGGAATGGCACCCTGACTATAACAGTATATAGGGGTTCTGGATCTTCTGGCGTTGACATTTTGATAGGATTCTTGCTTCCGTGATTGGCAAGTCAGGTCGGTGGAGTAATGAGGAAAGAATATAGCCCTCAAGGCTACATTTATGGCCCGGCTGTGGGCGGTATGTCATGGCAGAAAGTCACCATCCCACCATCCCACCAATCTAAACCGCACCGGTAGCAGATACTGTGAGTCAAATAGAACAACAACAGTTGCAAGTCATGTTTAGGTTATGCCCCAGTTTCCCTCATATAGGGTAGCTTTCTTGTTTGTTGTTGGAGAAGGTTTTGGTTTCAAGTAGGTACGTTGGGGGTGTTTTTTGCTGGTTGTAGTGCCTTATTCGTATATATGTACTAAAAGGAAGCATCCAATTACTAAAACGGGTCTTGTGGTCTAGTGGTATGATTCTCGCTTAGGGTACACCCTACAGCAATGTTTGCGAGAGGTCCCCGATTCGATCTCGGGCAAGACCCAACAGTGTATTTTTTGTATTTATTTTATATCCTCGCAAAGGGCTTGCTTCCCCGCAAACAGGGGTAGGGTAGGTAATTGCTCCGACTTGCAAGGACCCTTCCACTCTGCCACTGTGCACATTGCCCATATGTAGTAAAGTATATACTCTGAGTTCTCTGCTTGTGTGAAATCTCACAGTCCTGTGAAGTTATCCTATGAGTGTTGTCTTATACTCTTTTATTACTGTATACCCATGCAATTACAAGCTGTGTACTCGTGCAACAGTGCTGTGATAATGGCAGTGCATGTACCACACAGTAGCCACCCAGGCACCACGGCCCAACACTTCCCCAACCCGCAAGTAAGCCAATATATTACCTTGCTCGTTTCCTTCTCCTCCTTTCCTTTCTCCCATCTACCGTCCTCTCCAACCCACATCCCCCCCCCCTGTTTCTACTCTTCCAACCTATACCGGCGTTGATAATTGAACTCTCCATCTGACATTACAACCAACAATCGCACTCCCGTCAGAATGAAGCTTTCCGTGCTATCCGTTCCTCTCCTCCCCGTTCTCATCCACGCCCAAGCTATCCCCGACTGCGCAACCGCCTGTCTCTCCTCCGCCATCGTCGCCGCATCATGCACTCCTGGTGACAACGCTTGCGCCTGCACTTCCGCCAAGCAAATCGAAATTGGCATCGCCGGTACCTCTTGCCTCTTGAGCTCATGCTCCCCCGAGGAGCTTCCTGCCGTCATTGCTGCCGGAAGCGCGGCATGCTCCTCCTACTTCGCCACGCTGTCTGGCTCTGCGAAGGCAACGACGGGCAGCACAGCCACCCACTCCAAGAGCTCTGAATCAAGTGGTGCACCCACCATCACCTCCGAGCGAAGCACCTCTACCGGAACTACTTCTGCACCAGGCACCTCAGGGGACCCCAGTGACACAATGGTCCCAAGCGATGTCAGCACCACCGCTGGCCCTGCCTCAATGACAACCGGTGGGGCCAAGGCGCCTAGCTCCTCGACTGGCGGTGCGGCTGCCATGGCCACTGCATTCGGCGGCGTAGCAATGGCGCTCTTGGGCGTTGCCGTGGCCCTGTAAGGGTCCTAAGGCTTCGAATTGGCGAGGGACGACATTGAACAGACTTGACGTACCTTGGTGGATGGATAGGAGTGAGAGAGGACGAGTTGCACAAGGGGAGTAGGATCACAGAAGTGTTCCAGGATCTGCCACGTTACATTCTTGCTGTAGCCATGACCACTCATGACTTTAATAAAACACCATGACAGCCTTGAGACTACTCTCATCCATTCGTTCCGTGTGCATGAATTGCGTGCATCCGAATAACTCACACATCAGCCCCTCAAGCAACATATAGGAATGTCCCTAGAATAATAATGGTATTTTTATAGACCATGACGTTCAAGGCCTTTCGTTGTCAGTTCATGACGGTATTTAGTGGAGACCCCGCAATTGCCCCCGAAATCTGGGGAAGCTCCACGCATAATTATGGACTGCATTCATACGTACTGTATTAAATTGAGTCCATAATCCTGACACACGAACATCGATTATCAGGCCTATCACAGCGAGAAACTGGAGATAGTGGGGTTTACTAGTTTATATAGCTCGATAGATCAATTGCTTGATCAGAACGTAGGTGGCCCGATCTTTCCGCCAACCTCAGGTGACCCGCTCCACAACCGCCAAAACCTCGGCTGACCCCCCCACAGATAAATCTTCAACTTCTGACCTTCGACCCCGTCAACAACAGCACCAACTCCACCACCTCCGCCACCACGATGGCGCCCATCAAGCTTGACGATAATGTATGAATAATACATTACCAATGGATTGATAATTCTTAGGGCTCGGCACGGATGACCAATTTATCCGTCAAATCCGTGCATCCGTGAATATGAATACAAATTGTTAGATTCCAAAAAGTATGAGTATGAATATGAATACAAATTATGATTTTTACTAACGGATATGGATGCCAATCCATTCAATCCGCGGATTGAACAAATTAGATAGACTGTAGTTAGAAACTGAATTCATTGAGGTCATAGAATGCAGCCCTAGCCTTAACGCCCCCCTTTACTCAAATCCCTCTCCCACATCGCACGAAGTAGTGTTAGAGTCCTCATAGTTTCACTACTTAGACTATGCCGACGTAAACCTAATAAGTCTGTATTTTGGTTGAAAGGGCGCTCACAACTAACCTCTGTAATGGGAATTGCAAGGAAATCGCGTGCAACATGTGCCATTAGCAGATATTCTCCCTTATGAGAATCCCACCACTTTGGGAGCCAATCAGTTGACTTTGCATCACTAACAGCCACTGGTGGTGAATCAAGATATATACCAATATCAGACACCTTCACTGTGGTCTTCTTTTTGCCAAAGCGCTCAAGCATACGCTTATATGGATCTAGCTCAGGTTGAGATGTCATTGTTTTCAGATTGAGTAATGGTGGGAGTACCAGCTCATCGCTCAGAGGAGGAGTTGAATAATGATCATGAAGGTAGGTCCGTATTTGCTCCTTGACAACATTTGTCGCATCTTCGTCTTCAAATTCCTCTTTCAGCATCTCAAATTTGAGTTGTGGATCAAGCATCATCGCAATGTAATGAATATTTGACCCATAATCCATATATGCGTAATACTTTTCGTACTTTCTTAGCCCAACCTGCACAGCCTTTGAGATATCATCATCTAAGCTTGCAAAGTCCCCCTTTTGGTCAATTGCATCCTCAAAAAGCTCTTACACTCAAAATAGAGGTAGACTGACATGCTTATTTGTGGTGACGCCTGTGATATATGCTTTGAGAACTCATTAACTTGCTTGTTATGTTTTGCACTCAGTTTTGATCTTCGATGGTTGTTTTTTTCTTTGGCTCAATCGATTGAGAAGCAATCATTATTGCGGATGGGCGCAAGGCGTGATTTTCTCAAGCCACTCCCAATCAGCTTTTTCAAATAGGGGAATAGCAGTTGAATTATAATTGCAAAAGAGTGTGAATTGCTTTGATGACTTAAGGGCGTCATCAATCATCCGGAAAGTTGAGTTCCATCGTGTATCAACATCATACTCAATCATATTTGTTGGAAGGTTGTTAACTGTACACACAGTCTTCCAATTTTGCCGACGAACTGCACTACGATTCATCCAGACTATAATAAGTCTAAGTCGTGCAAGTGCAGCGATGCCTGATGGAAAAGGGGTTCCCTTTGCCATAGCGTTGCAAGTATCAACTGCAGTCTTCATATCCCCTGACTTTAAACTTTGTAAGATGTCTTTCACAATTAAATTGAGAACATGTGCAAGACAGCATACATAGCTAGCATCTCCTTCAAGCAGATAGTGTTACGATATCAAGTGCGCCTTGCAGCTCGAGTGGGGGTTCAGGGGTGTGGGGATCTTTCTGGGGTTGGAGCGAAGTTTTCAGTTGTGGAGTGAATTCTCAGAACTGGTCTCGCTAAAGAGAATTCACTCCACAACAATATAGCTGTATATAGATCGAGCCACTGCTCGAGTGCTCCTCTTCTCTTTCCTTTCTTCTCTAGATTGAGTTTAATTCATAATACCCAACTGGCGCCCTATGCCTTGGTGAACCGTGACAGATAGAGAGGTTTGGCTCCTCAATATATTGCATAATGTTGTTATGAGATAGTAGCTCATATAAATGAGAACATAGTATGCCATTGTTATCCGCATTATCTGCAGTGATCGCAAGTAGCTTTGAATTAAGATTCAACTCCTGACATAATGAGAATATCATTTCAGCCATATTCTCTCCACTATGTCATCCAGGGATCTCTGCAAACTCAAGGACTGACTCATGATATTGAAAGTCTTTTGACAGCCAATGGCCAATTACACCTAGCATTCCACAATGATTGGTACTTGTCCATGCATCAAGTGAAAAGTCAATAGTAGAGCACTCAACATCTAGCTGATTCTGTAATGTAGTAATGGTATTTTTCTCTTCTGTATGTAGAGGGTGTGAGGCTTGAACTTGCGAAGCTGAATCATGTGGTGAGATATTATCATCTTCTTCTCTTAAAAGTGATAAATCTTGAGAGATTTGGGCTTGTTTTTGGGCGTTTCGTGGTCGTTTAACTCGTGATATGACATCAGAGTCATATTCTTCGTCACTTCCATCATTTAATGTATGAAAATCAATTTCTCGATGACGTGTGCGCCGTGCTAGGGGAGAATTAGACGGATTCATATTTAGATAATATGAATATATCCTAAATAGAGCGAAGAATAAAAAAGAGAAGTTATGGGGTTTTGTCATGATTATAACACAAAACAAATATAACTTACCCCTCCTTTACATGATTTTACGGCCTCAATTATGGCACGTGCATACCACTAACGCATTGCCAAGCATTCATGAATATATTCACAAATATTCATGAATACGACGAATATGAATATGAATAGTTTTAATCTTCTATGAATATTATCACGGATTGAATATAAGGGCCTTCAAAACCCATGAATACAGATACGGATTGAGAAAAATTTGCATCCATGCCGAGCCCTAATAATTATACTAACAACCACAACAGGCGGCCTATAAGGCCTACAAACTCCTTACTGAACGCCCACTCGGAATGAAGCCTTTTCAATTCTAGTTCAACTTCACTTTCAACTTCACACTGAGATTAATACATTACTAATACATTATTAATGCATTAGTCATCCTTTTACAATAAGCATTGTTAAGGACACTGCAGTGTGTTGGCTTTGGTGGCTGAAGTTGTTTATGGCAATATTAGACCTATAATGCATTAATAATGCATTAAGAACACATTACTGAAGAACACACATTATTACACATAGCATCAACTACTTCTGGTGTCATTGAGGAAGTATTGATGATATAGGCGACCCCATTTTCAGATGTTTCAGGGTATTCTGGTAAATCTGTTGTATAGTTTACCTTCATTACCCGGGTTGCTTTGTCGCTAACAATCGCTTGAAATAACTGTGGTTGTTTCGATCTTAATGCATTAGTAATGCATTAAGTATATATTAGGCGGCTCTTACCTTCTCCGCCTCTTCTCCTTCTTCAGTGACAAGTTGTTCTTCCCGATATCTTTCATCCTCAAATTGAAGACTACTATCAATACTAACAGTATTAGACCATAGGTCTAGTTGAGGTAGTGAAATTATCCCATCCATTGTGAATAATGCATTAGCAATGAATTAGTACTGTTGTTGTTGCCATGCCCTACAGGTTTTACGTTGGTAGGAAATTAGGGCCCTATTATACCATTTTTCGCCCTACCTGACCATATCATGTGATGCTACATGAGTGTTACGACGGAACAAGAAGGCTGGCCAACTACAGGACAGGAAGGAGGGAGGTCGCATGAGACCGGCCCTGGTACCTGGAGGGGCAGCGGGGAATAGTAATTCCGAAAGTATCACGTGACGGACTCGCAGGATGATGAGAAGAGTCCTAAGAGTCCAGGACTCTGAGGACTCGAGTGAGTTCCCAGGAGTCCACTAGGCACGTGATGGACTCGCAGGATGATGAGAAGAGTCCTAAGAGTCCCACGCGAAGATTAGGGCCGAACGAGACAAGCCCAATGGCCAGAGGAAAATCCCCATGCTTAAAGACCTCTACGGGAACCTGTTACAGGGACTTCCGTTAAAATGCAAGGTGGACGACTGCAAGGATGACCTCTGGAGATACTACGACCAACTAACGAATACCCGCAGGCTGCTTGGCACGTCCCAAGACGTAGCTAAGTTGGAAGCCCAAGAAGCGGAAGAACTGGAGAAGGATGTTGAGCATATGGCTAAACTGAAGTATATGAAAAGCGTCGAACTTTACTACCAGGACCGCAGGAGAGCCCTGAAGAAGTACGACGAGAAAGCCAGAGATATGCTCCGACGGGAAAATGCGAGACCCACTCCACGCATCGAAAGGAGAGCCATGGAGCAACTAGACACGTTCTCCACGCCTCCGAGGGAAGATAGTGCATGGGTGAGAGGACAGCGGGAACTATCAACGACAGACGCAACAGAGACTGATCATCCCTGGCACGCGTATGTCTACTGGGAGTATTGCAGCAAAGATGACTGCAAGCTCCACTGGAAAAAGAAACACCAGAATCAGTTGTTTCCCCGATCCTCGCCCAGGATACACTTCAGAGACGCAGAGCAAGTTCACGCCCTCAGGCGAAGCCAGTCTGAAGGGGACTTGCCTATCAAAAGCGAACAGGTATACAAGAAATACCCACATCTGCTAGACGAAGCAGAAGAGCGAGGGAAACGATCTCCCCAAGGACCACCATTGGAAGCGGATGAATACTATCCTTCCTCGGACGAGTCAAAAAACTAGGAGTCCTCGATGGTAGGCCACCGGCGAGCGACACGAAGAGGCCTAGTACAGACCAACTATGCGCCACGACGGGCAGCATGCAACTATATGTGGTCGCTAAGATACAACAGCGACACCTCCGAGCAATGATTGACTCAGGAGCGACGGGCAACTTTATGACAAAGAAAGTAGCAGATACACAGGGCTTCAAAACAACAATGAAAGCCGAACCATACCCGTTAATGGTCGTAGATGGAGAGCCCATCTCGACTAATGAAGGAATGGTGACCCACGAAACGGTCCCATTGGAAATGGTCATGCTACACGGGCACAAGGAAACGATTCAGTTTGACATCGTGCACATGGACAACCATGCGTGCATCCTTGGTGTGCCATGGCTCAAGAAACACAACCCCCAGATTGACTGGTGGAACGAGAAAGTTGTGATGAGCCAGTGCGCGTGTGAACAACGGACGGACACGCGACAACGGGAGAAACCCTCCCAGGGCCGGAAGGAGTTATGTGCAACCTCCGAGCTCGATGACCTAGCCCAGGCATCCTCACCGACGAGTATACCGGTGGAGTACAAGGAATACGAGCAATTATTCCAGGAAGGCCCTAAGAACGAGGCGCTTCCTAAGCACCAACCATGGGATCACGAGATACCCTTGGAGAAAGACAAGAGTCCACCGTTCGGACCAATATATCAGCTATCAGAAAAAGAGCTAAAGGTACTCAAGGAGTACATTGATGATAACCTAGCAAAAGGATTCATCAAACCATCCACGTCACCCGCAGGAAGTCCGGTGCTTTTCGTACCAAAGAAAGACGGCTCCCTACGGTTATGTGTGGACTATCGAGCGTTGAACAACATCACAATCAAGGACAGGTATGCCCTGCTGTTAATCAACGAACTACACGATAGATTTCAAGGAGCAAAGATCTTCAGTAAGCTAGATCTGCGAGGAGCATACAACCTGATCCGAATCAAGGCTGGGGAAGAGTGGAAAACAGCATTCCGCACCCGCTATGGCCTATTCGAGTATCAAGTCATGCCCTTTGGGCTAACAAACGCACCCGCATCTATGCAATGACTGATGAATGATGCTTTGCATGAATACTTAGACATCTTTACCATTGTCTACCTAGATGACGTCCTGGTGTATTCAGCAACCAAGGAGGAGCATGTCAAGCATGTCAAACTCGTCCTGAAGAAACTAAAGGAGTACAGCTTACTCCTCAAACCAGAGAAGTGCGAGTTCCATAAAAACCA